TTTAAAATTTGACTGCCCCGCTGGATTTTGGACTTGCATGGGCTCTGTAACCCCTTTGTTTTGGCCAATTTCTCCCATTTTCAATGGCTGTATTTACCCAATTCCGGTACTCTCATTGTATCTAAGAAGTAACTAACTTGCTTTTGATTTTACAGGCTCACAGGCAGAAGCGACTTGCCTTGTCTCAGATGAGACTTTGGACTGTGGGCTTTTGGGTTAATGCTGAAATGAGTTAAGACTTTGGGGGACTGTTGGAGGGCATGATTGGTTTTGAAATGTGAGGACATGATATTTGGAGCAGCCAGGGGTGGAATGATATGGTTTGGTATTCAAATCTCATCTTGAATTGTATCTCCTAGAATTGCCATGTACTGTGGGAGGGACTCGGGGGGGGTAATTGGATCACACGGATGGGTCTTTCCCACGGTATTGTTGTGACAGTGAGTAAGTCTGAAGAGAGCTGATGTGTTTATCTCGAGTTTCTGCTTTTGCTTCTTCCTCATTTTTCTCTTGCCACCACCATGTGAGAAGTGCCTTTCACTTCCAACTGTGATTCTGAGGCCTCCCCAGCCATGTGGAACTGTAAGTCCAATTAAGGCTCTTTTCTTCCCAGTCTCAGGTATGCCTTTATCAGCAGTGTGAAAATGAACTAATGCAACAATATACTCCTGAATGATCAGTGGGTTAATAAAGAAATTTAAAGAAAATTTAAAAATATTGAAACAAATGATAATGGAAACCCAACATACGAAAACCTATGTGATACAGCAAAAGCAGTAGTAAGAGAAAAGTTCATAGGTCTAATCTTACATATGAAAAGAAGAAAAACAAATACACAACCTAATGATGCATCTTAAAGAACTAGAAAAGCCAGAGCAAACAAAACCCCAAATTGGTAGAAAAAGAAATAATTAAGATCAGAGCAGAAATAAATTAATTTAAAATTAAGAAAACAATACAAAAGATCAACAAAATGAAAAGTTGGTTTTTTGAAAAGTTCAACAAACCTGGCAAACCTTTATCCAGACTAACGGCTAAAAAAGAGAAAGATCCAAGTATTTAAAAATTGAGATGACAAAGAAACATTACAACCATTACCACAGAAATGCAAAAGATTATTAGAGTCTACTATGGGCAGCTATATTCCAATAAATTGGTTAATCTAAAAAAAAAAATGGATGCATTTCTAGACAAATATAATTTACCAAAATAGAACATAAAGAAATCCAAAACCTGGACAGACCAATAACAATGAGATCAAAGCCATAGTAAAAATTCTCCCAGCATAGAAAAGCCCAAGACCCGATGGCTTCACTCCTGAAATTTGCCAAACATTTGAAGAAGAACTGATACCAATCTTACTCAAACTCTTCTGAGAAGTAGAGGAGGAAGAGATATTTCCAAACTCTACAATACCAGTATAACTCTGATACCAAAACCAAGCACACCAAAAAAAAAAAAAAAAAAAAAAAGAAGAAAGAAAGAAAGAAAGAATACTACAAGCCAATATTTCTGAGGAACATTGATGCAAAATCTGCAACAAAATACTAGCAAATTAAATTAAATAATAAACTAAAAAGACTATTTATTATAACCAAATGAGATTTATACCTGGGTTACAAGGATGGTTTAATACATGCAAGTCAATCAGTGTGATATATGAATAAAGGACTAAAACCATATGATCATTTCAATTGATTCTGAAAAAAAAATCTGATAAAATTCAATATTAATTCATGATCAAAAACATCAAAATCTGGGTATAGAAGGAACCTGCCTCAACATAACATAACAATAGCCACATATGACATCCAAGCATTTATCCCTTTGTGTTAAGATCTGGAACCCAACAAAAATTTTCGCTTTCTCCACATGTTATTTTTGTTGGGTTCCAGATCTTAGAAGAAAGGCTTTCAGTTGGTCCCCATTTAGTATGATACTAGCTGTGAATCTGTCATATATGGCTTTTGTTATGTTATGTTATGTTGAGGTAGGTTCCTTCTATACCCAGATTTTGATGTTTTTTGTCATAAATGAGTATTGAATTTTATCAGATCAAACTCAAGGTAAAGTAATAAAATAATTATAAGAAACCATACATATTCCTGTTTTCAACTGAAATTGTACCCAACTCTGCTTAGACTAGCTCCTGATAAAGATGTGATGGGAAGGGTACAGGTATTTATTTCCTCATAACTGTAACTTTTGTAGATTTATCCAAGAGCATGTTTTGTAGGTCGTAAGAATTTGCTAATTATATTCATCCACTAGATAAAGATATGTCTATTCCTTCCTGGTAATTAATGGGACATTTATAGACTATAAAACAAATTGATTTTACTAGGTTATTCAACATAATTTTAGATTTATGTTCATCTGATTCAATAGATGCTTATGTTCCAATAGTATATGGTGATATTTATGTAAAGGGAGCCCTAAAATGAATCATTATGTATACCATGTTGGGATTTGCTTCTCTGAGCAGAGGGTGAGTCACATGTTATGTCCATAAATACAGATTTGTTTCCAGTTAGTGTTATCCTGCTTTCTAAGACTTTCTGAAAGTAAATTATAGGCAGCTCTAAAAGGAACATATGTATTTATACAAGTGTGAGTGAGAATCACACTTACAGACAATTACATTAGTTTCTGTAGTTAAACCAGTATTGGCAATTGCACTGGACTATTTAACATATCTATATCAAGAAAAAGAGATGGTTCATTTCCCTCTGTATTGATTTTAGTTGTTGCTACAGGATCAAGGCTTGCTCATAACTCTAACAGGCAATTTATGGCATTTATTTTACATGTTAAGGTATTATTAACCCTCATTTTTTCTGTGAGCCACTGCACCAGTACTTACTTATACTTTTTAAAAAAGTATGTATTTGCTTACATAAATATAATCTCTCTGAAAGCTGTGTAACTGGGGATGGTGGTTGTCTCCTTGGAGAGTCATTGGGAGGCAATTAGCCCCCATTTTTAATCTATTTTTCTAACCCTATCTCCAAACATAGTCCTTCATTAAAAAAAAAAATAATCATGTTTCCATGTTCTTGGCCCTTTCTCTTGTAATTGATTATTTGTCAGAAGGCCCAGCAACTTGATACTTCTTTCTTAAATTCCTCTTCCTTTTCAGTAGCAAAGTCATCTCAGATATCCTCATAATTATTTTACCATATTTATTTTAAGGAAAAAATTGGTATCCCTTTTCTACAAATATTGCTCAATATTACCTTAAACAGGCTTTCATGGTTGTTCTAACACTAGTTTCTTTCAAGTTGGAAAGAAAAATATTTTCCTTTAATTGCCGTCAGTTGGATTTTGTAGAGCTGACTATGTGATGTTCTGGAAATTTTCAGGTAAAATCCTATGCGTGTGCTAAAACAGGGGAACAATTTCTGACACGGTGGTTTAATTTGGTTTATGCTCTATTAACTTACAAAGCAGCATATTCATTTAAGTAAGCTCTTTTTAAGAAAACAAGAAGTTAGAAAAGCTGGTGAACTAATGATTTCAAGGCAAGGTATAGGATTTTTCATTTTTATTTTTAAGCAGAAATCTTTAACCTCCATAATTTTAGGAGGCTAATTTTTCACATTTTTGTAATACAGATTTCTCTTACAAGCCATGGAGCTCTTTCTGTAAATACAAATTAAGGGTTAATTTTGGGGTGGGGGCTGGTGTTTTGAAGATATCTTGAAGTTAAGAGAGTTCTTTGAACACTTACATATTTAATTTCATTGTACATTTTAATTGCATTGTAGTGTTTCTGAATTCTTTACTGTGCTTTTACTTTTAACTTCTCAAGTAAACTATAATCAATTGAAAATGTGTTCTACTCTATTGCTATTTAGTTTCTACATTATTGCTATTTAGTTTCTACATTATACTTCGCTGTCTAATTTACATTTTCTCTTGGATGTTAAATAGGCATGTCAAACCTAGTAAGCCCAAATTCTAACTGTTCGATCTCCAATTCTACTCCTAAAGGCCAATCCTCTTTTTCTATCTTAGTGAAAGGCTACTTCATCCTTCCAGTTTTTGGGCAAAAAGTTTCAGACTCATCCTTAATCTTCTCTGCCATTTATATGCCAGCATTAAATATGCTGATTTAACCTATCATCATATTTTATCAGCTCACCCTTGGAAACCTATTCAATATTTTATCACTTCTCTCTACGTCCACTGCTACAACTACATACCATGAACAAATTACCGTCTTCTCTCACCGAGACTGTTGCAATAGTCTACTCATGGGTCTTTTAACTTTCATCTTTGAGCAAATATTGTTTATTCTGAGCCCACAGCTAGAGTAATCCTTCTAAGAAGCAGCAGATCCCATCACTCTTCTGTGCAAAACCATCCAATGCTTACTGTCTCTTCAATGGGAAAAGCCAAGTTCCCTGCAGAGACTTACACATTCCCTCTTAATTGGCTCTGCCCTTCTTACTGCTCCAAATTCGTTTTCTACACTGTCCCCTTACTCAACTCCAACTACACTGGTCTCTTGTCACTCCAACAGGTCAAGTATGCTCTTGTCTCAAGACCTTGAACTTCCTCTTCCTCTCTGTCCATCATGCTGTACCCAAATATCCACTGGTTTATGTCCTCACTTCTTTTGGGTCTCTTCTCAAATGCCATAATATCAAAGAGAACTTCCCAGATCATTCTATATGAAATAGCACCCCTCCACCGCCACAAATCTCGAAGCCTTATCCTGCTTTATTATTCCTTGGATTGTACTTATTATTTGATATGTTATATACTTCTTAAAATTTGTTTTGAGATATTTGCCTCCACTAAACTGTAAACTTCATGAAACAAAGAATTTATTTAGTTCACTTTGTACCCTAGAGACTTGCACATTTAGGTTTATGACAAATATTAATTGAAAGGATGTGTAAATGAATTGCACAGTGTTCCATACAAGTTAATGCCACCTGGGCATTAGAACACATGTTGAAATAGCCAGGCAAAAAATAAAAGGATGTGAACAATTATTAATTACAATCTTATTTGTCTTTAAAACAACCTCATTTTCACAGAGTGTTTTAATGAAGCTTGGGTACATGTGGAATCATCATGGTCAAATAGTTCTTATTACAATTTCTAAAACAAAAAACCAGTGTTCATCATTATTCTGCTAAAATCTGTCTTTATGTTCCCAGCAGTGTCACCATCAACTTTTACTTATCGTTTGCCTGATGTGATTCAGTCTTAGTTTGTCAGTATTATTACTCTAGTAGCTTTCACTTTATCTTAGAGAGGTAGTAAAAATTAGAAGGTTATAAGAGAAAGAAAATGTATGCCACAATATGGTCAATCATCAGAATTCTTACCAAGTACTATACTTTTATTGGTACAGAGCTGACTCTGAAATATTCCTTGGGTGCTGTTTTACCTGCCAGCATGTCATTCCTGATGTTGCTTTTAATTTTACTAATAAATTATTTTATTCATTTCTTATTAATATCCAGATGGTAGGATAGCAGTTAAGAAACTATTGGAACATTTGATTATAGATCAACTCGATGAGTGTGTTTAGGGCCCCACAATATAATGAACCCGTGAAAGAAACTTCTGCTTTATTTTTGACAGTGAAATCAATGTTTTACTATTTGTTTTTATATGTTTCTTGGTTTCAGTTACGACTATATCCTAGTTCATAGTCACCTCACAATCCTTTAACCTCTTTGCCCCCTGACTACTCAAATATTTCATCTTATGATAATAATTTAAAAGTCAGAGTTTTACATGAAGATTCACAAAACGCTATTAGTTTTCCTGTTTTTTCTTCCCCATGTTCCAGATTGTACACATTGGGCAAAGTGGCTTCTGCAGTTAACACTGTGCCCGCAAGGGCCTCGTCTCCACTGAAGCTAAAAAAAAAAAAAAAAAAAAGTAAGGTAAGTGTTAAAGAGAAGTTCATCATACTAAAGGTAAAATATTAAGCCTAAAAATCTGTTACAACAGCTATGCAGGTTTTTAAAAATGTAGCAACTAATAGGCCTGTTTATCTTTCTCTTCCTTTATGCTTCCAAATCCCTCTTCAACATTTATATTTAAATATCATATCCAATAATTATTTATATTAAATATAATAATTTTTAAGCATTGTAAACTACATGTTTCTGTAAAAAAAAATATTAAAAATGCATACGTGGCAGAATGTGCCATCCCAAGAAAAAAAATCCATTGCTTAGAGTAAGACTTTTCTTACTTGGGTAAGCAAATATAAAATGTCTACTTTTTATGCTATAAAGATTTCAAAAACATTAAGATAGTCCTAATTCCCAAATACAAAAGACTACTTCATGTACTGTATTTGTTACCTACATTATTCTAAAATAACTTTAAAATTTGACATGTGAAAGAGTAGGGTGTTTCTTTAGGCGTACTTTCACCCAAGACACATAAATTGGGTCTGTAATTATTAATTTACAAATGGGATTTTTATACTTTGTTCTTACCAATATTTATTGTATAATCTGTTCTAAACCCAGAAATAAATATATTTATTATACATTTGAGAGTCTAAAGTTGCTTGAGGCAGTGATAGAAATTTTCAAATTACTGAGTGTTTTTTAATATTGTCAGTGTTTTTTAATATTTTCCTACCCTCAAGTTCCTTTCAGATCATTAAATACTAGCAACCTTTCTTCCTCTGGCTCAGTTATGCAGCAGTTTATCAAAGGATTGATAACTTCTTTTTTAAAATGGTCTTTTGAGATCAGCCTATGCCAAAGAAAAATATTTTACTAAACCTTCTCTGCCTTTGTAAATGGTTGAGGGCCACTAGAGAACCTATACCTGTAAGTCAGGACATTTGATTCTGATCAACCAACCATTCTGTATGAATTTTAAACAAGTCAGGACCTTGACTCAGAGGTCAATTTGTTACTTTCCACATACTCTGTACGTGAAGAATGATTTATTTCCATAACAAATTATGTTCTGAGACCTAAGTAGAAATTGAAATTAAATAAGAATATGTGGCTAGTTACCAACTCAGATTTAATTACAACAATAACCCAAACACTTTATATACATCAACTAATTTGTAGTTAATTTATTGAGGAGCATCAACATTAATATGTAAATATACAACAGTTTTATTTTTCCAAAGACTGCACTAATTGTGTATTCCTTCTACTGTTGAAAGGTTTATCACTGAAAAACTTGGGGAACACATCTATCTGGAAGTCCTATCCCATGACTGAAGCTAAAATAATTGTGTAAAACTCCTACCCCATGGCTGAAGCTCATGGAGCTTTTTATTATCACTTTTTATTATTAAAACACTATTTATTATTAAAACAATCACTATTGTTTTCCTACCCCCCAGCCTCCAAGAAGTTAAACTCTAGTGACGTGGAGGTTTGAAAATATCTATGTGGTGGGGGTAGGGGATGAAAGGGTGAATGTTCTGGTTTCCAAATCACTACCTTACATTTTCCCTAGTGTGTGTCTTTCTAGAAAAGTGGGAGTTGAGTGGAGGGGTATGGGAGACAGACTTCTTAGATGATGGCCCATGACAAAACTTGTCCTCTCTTTGATTGGTGCAGACTCCTCAACCTACCTACTTTCTATGCACTTGATATTGACTTATAGGGCTCTGTAGGTGAAAGGCTCACTTCCACACAGCTCACCTGCACATTGGTGCTCCCTTGTGAAATAAAACTACACACGTCAGTCCATCTGGCAGCCTTATGTTGCATTCCTCTGAAAAATGTACATCTGTGACCACACTCCTATGGTCGCCTGTAAAACCATGGCTCTGCCTATTATCCAGCCTTTTGGTGAGGTCCCAGACCAGACGCTGCAGGAACAAACGTTGAGAGGGCACTGTTTTATCTCTTTCTTCTCTCAGCCTGAAAATCATAACAAAACCTCCATCTCCAATTTTCTTTACCAAAGCTTTGGTAGCACAGAAAGCAGGAAGTCTAATGGCTAAATAGACATCCAACCAAGAAACAAATTTAGTTCCTTCATTTAACAGGCACTCCACATTTATAAGGCATTCTCCCTGGGCTTCCTACATTGGTTTTCAGAAGAAAAGCATGCCACCTACCAAAACGGGAGACGGGCAGATGGAATGTGCTGTGTGTGTGTGTGTTTTCCTTTTTCATAATATTTTCTACAATGTTTGTCTCTTAATCTTCATCTTGTATCAGTGCAGTGTGGTGGTGGCAATAGTACCAGAAAGGGTTGATCTTAAAAGCAGAGATTCTATGAACTTATGACTTAAATTTTTTCACTATGGGTTTTACTCATTATTTTTAATATATTCTATTACTCCAGTTGGATTTTCACATGTTTAACATTCAAAAGTCAGTATATTTTAAAGTTCTAGTTAAATTGGACCTGGATTTCCATCTGTACTCTACCATGTATTAGCTGTATTAATCTTGGGCAAGCTTACTAATGATTATGAGCGTCAATATTCGCAGCTGCAAGGTGTAAATAATAACTTTTCATAGATTTTCAAAGGAACTAGACAATGCATATCTTAAGCAAATAACTTAGCATGATGTATGGCAAATAAGAGACATTTAGTAAAGTCATTTTCACAATTTAGAGGTTAAGAAACTGACTTCCGAGATTACTACGTTTTCTAAAGATGTTTGAAAGTAGCAGAGACAGTATTTGAAATCAAATCTGATTTATGCTAAAACCTATACATTTTCTACTACTACATGCTACCACTACATTTGCTACTTCAAAAAAATGGATCAATTGACTTATTTTCCTTAATTGTACCAAAGCAATTTAAGAAATTTAAGAAAATTATTAAAGAAATTTAATAATTTAAATTTAAATTTAAAGAAATTTAAAATTTTAACAATTTAAGAAATTTAAGAAAATAATTTAAGAAAATTATTTCTAAGAAGGATTTAGGATATTGTTCACATATATAGTGCTGTAACCCAAATTAGTCTTGAGAAAAATATGGCAAGGGAAAAACAAGGATAAATATAAAAAGGTACATTTCTGGGAAACCAAAAATGTTCCTGTGTTCAGCTCTGAAAGGTAGCAGTATATTTGGAAGTACCTCTAGTAGAGTCATCACCTGGAATCAACAGGACAATCTTAACTTTCAAGGGGGGTCTATGAATCCTTGAAACTGTGCAATATTTTGTATGTAAGTGTCTATATGTACTTGTCTTGGGCAATCAAACTACTTTCTTTTAGAAAACTAAAAATCAAACAAATTAAAGAAGCAAAGCAAAAACTCCGCAAAATTCCTTTTTGATCCACAGCATTATATGCAAATTCTATGAGAAAATCCCCTATGAAATCTCAGTATTCTTTGTAAACTAGTTCAACCACTGTGGAAAACAGTATGACGATTCCTCAAGGATCTAGAACTAGAAATACCATGTGACCCAGCCATCCCATTACTGGATATATACCCAAATGATTATAAATCATGCTGCTATAAAGACACATGCACACGTGTGTTTATTGCGGCACTATTCACAATAGCAAAGACTTGGAATCAACCCAAATGTCTATCAGTGACAGACTGGGTTAAGAAAATGTGGCACATATACACCTTGGAATACTATGCAGCCATAAAAAGGGATGAGTTTGTGTCCTTTGTAGGCACATGGATGCAGCTGGAAACCATCATTCTCAGCAAACTATCGCAAGAATAGAAAACCAAACACTGCATGTTCTCACTCATAGGTGGGAACTGAACAAAGATCACTTGGACTCGGGAAGGGGAACATCACACACCGGGGCCTATTATGGGGAGGGGGAAGGGGGAGGGATTGCATTGGGAGTTATACCTGATGTAAATGACGAGTTGATGGGTGCTGATGAGTTGATGGGTGCAGCACACCAACATGGCACAGGTATACATATGTAACAAACCTGCAAGTTGTGCACATGTACCCTAGAACTTAAAGTATAATAATAAAAAAAAAAGAAAAAAAAGAAATCTCAGTATTCTTATCCTAATACAGGTATTTTGTGGCATTGATTGAAATTAAGAACTCTTAAAAATACTTAAAAAGCAATGCCTTTATATTATAAATGAAAACCAGATCTTTGTAGTTAAAAAGTCATAGGAACTTGGTCTTGCATCTTTTACAAAGAAGAGGTGGCTTCTGGAAGGTCAATAAAACTTCAACTTGAAGCTATTATTAACTTCAATTACATATATCTTGAGAATTTGTAGAAATTCTTGTAATGACAGGAGCTGGCATCATCCCTAAAACCTAGATTTATGCACACTAACTTGATCATTATCTGTCATTACAAATTTAAGGGCCCAAATCCAAGGTTCACGACCAAACACTTTGCCACAAGTAGCATGTGCCATAAGCCTAACTGCACAGAAAATAAGAATAAAAAGTCTGAATAACTATTTATAATTATTTCCATGTTGGATTTCTAAAAAGAATTCTTTGAAAAATGTGATATTTTTGTCTTATAAAGCTAATCTTTTTATGCCTTAACACGTGAGGCCATTTTGAATAATGAAATATTTGAAGTGTGTGTTTCTATAAAAGAGTCTAATGATTACAGATGATAATTCTGCTTATCTGATATTATTTAATTTCAAACTCATTTTCAGATACCAAGTCATTTATCAAAGGCATCAAATTTTATTTTTCATTTAGAATACAACATAGTATTTGTTACCATAAGAAAAAAATCCTTCAATAGGGAGTGTTTAACCTAGCTCTTAATCCTATAATGATATTCTTTTCTAGATAACCTAGGCTAAGTAAAGACTTTTTTAAGCTTACTATTTCAGAAATAAATTTAGTTCCCAGAATTACCTGAACTGTGTTAAAACTGCTCTTAAATTCAGAGTGCTTCACTTGATTACTTTTTTTCTTTTTACTTTATCAGCTGTAAAGTATGACTTAAATTCACTTTATTTTTAGAGAGTAATCAGCTATGTTAGTCATCTCTAGGGAAAAATACATTGAAAGCTATAATCTGCCGACATTTTAAATCTTCAAAAAAAGTAATAGAATCGTACATTTTATCAATGGGAGACGTATAACTCAATACTAATATTGTAAAGGTGAGAAGAAGTTAAAATTTCATTGAAATCAATGTGCTGCCTAAATTATTGCCTACTATGAGAGTGGTAGAATATTTCTGATATATCACTGTAAAAAAATGATACAAATCTTTTATTTTATTTTATTTTATTTTATTTTATTTATTTTTTTGAGGCAGTGTTTCTCTCCATCACCCAGACAGGAGTGCAGTGACGCAGTCTCCGCCTCCCAGTTTCAAGCAATTCTTGTGCCTCAGCCTCCCATGTAGCTGGGAGCACAGGCGTGAGCCACAATGACTGGCTAATATCTGTATAAACAATCTTTAATAGTTAAAATATATGCTATTGGTTACGGGAACGGCTCCCATGTAACCTAATAACACAATTCACTCTGACTGGCAATTACCACCCATTCAGCAGTATCACTCTGATGCCTTATTGTTGGAAATCATGAAATTATATAATACTCGAAGCTGGCCTTTTACCATTTAATCCTACTCCCTTACATAAGCAATCAGAAAGCTGAAAATAACATGTGCAGTGGATTAGCATTAGATCTGATATCTATCTGTCCTCCTGATAATCATTAGTCATATGGCTTTTAGAATGTTACTTAATCTTGTTGAGTCTCTGTTTCCAAATTTGGAGTAATAATGCTTTTTTTTTTTTTTTTTTTTTTTTAACCAAACCTGAGAAGTATTATAAGAATCAAAGGAGGTGACATGTATGGAAGTGCCTTATCATTGATTGTATTATTGTTCTCTGAAATACGGAACACTCTATGTCCTTGCACAGCATGTGGTTTGCCTAGACATTCACCAGGAAGGGATTCGATTGGGACACATGCTCTGATATACTCTGGGGGACATGAGAAGACAACACTGTGGTTTGTAAATGTTCCATCAGCCATGGTCTGGTCATTCTCAGCAGCGATGGGCACCACCCTAGAATGGTTCAGGCGGAAAATTTCTGACAAGACAAGAGATAGCCAATCTTTATCTTGCTTTAGGAATTAGCCAACGGGGGCTTAATAATTATCTTATCCTTTTGTCTCTCCAGAATCCGGAAAGCCTGGGAAATACTTTTCCAAGAGTTTATTTTCCTTTTAGATTCTACCACGGAAAGGTACCATACAATATTTGAAAGGTGAAATAGAATCAAAGCCATTTTGCTATGGCAGCAGTAAGTCAATGTACAGGCAAAAGACAGACCTGATGTTTATCCAGTGTCTTCACATGTTTTGTGAATCACTTGCTTTACTACTGCAAGCAGCTGACATGTCTGCAGTGGTGTTTTGAAACTCCTATAGTTTCCTTTTCCATTGCCTTCCACTTCCAGATTCCTGGAAGTTAGTGATGTCTTTTCTGACCTTTGTTTTCCTAGTCTTTCTAATGCTTTTGTATGTATGTAATTTATTTTATTAAATGTCTTCCTATCTTCTTTGCAAAACCCAGATTGATACAGTATCTCACTTTACTTAGATATTTCTGACAATTTCTTTATCAATTATCTAATTGCTACACACAACACCAAAAACTTGGTGGCTTGAAACAGCAACAATGAAATTAAACATCAATTTAAAAGCTATATAGAGAATTTCTAAATATTTCGAAATGAAAGAAGACACTTCAAAATAATCCATGAGTCAAAGAGAAATTGGAATAGAAATTAGAAAGTAATCTACATGAATATGAAAACACAATATATAATAATTTGTAGGATGCAGATAAAGCACTTCCTAAAGAAAAATTTATAGAACTAAATGCTTATATTAGAAAACAAGGAAGATGTGAAAT